GTGTTGAGTGAGGAAGGAGTGCAGGGAATCTGCGCTTTCACTGTCCCTCCATGTAAACAGTGGGACACATGCGGACCCTCACCTACTGACATGATCTAAGCACAACCACAACATATTATAAAAAATAAATAACTATATATTTATATATAACAATATAAATGGTGCCTTTTTGTTTTTCTGTCACATTAAATTGACAACTAGTCCTTCTCACCAGGTCCTGGTAAAAGACAGCTTCCCTTTGACAGCCAGGCAAAGGGAAGACAGAGGTGGGGGACATGGAACGGAGGTGCCATAATGAGAGCGATGGGCCTCCACCACAGAGCTGGAGAGGAAATGGATAACATTTTATAACAATAGGGGCATTATGCCATTCCATCTTAACATACATAGAGGGGCATTCCAGACGAGCAGTAGTCCAATACAACCATACAGATAGTAACTGAGGTATTTAAAATCAAGCATGTCAATGCATATTCAGAAAACACGAGATAAACAAGAACAAATAAAGACAATAGCTTCACTGTCCCTGCTAACTACAAGTCCATCTTACCATCCAATCAGAGTCCGTAGCAAGACAGCTAATCCACTTCCCAAACTGGGGGCGTGCGCATTCCTGACTCGCCATTCCAGAGCAAGTTTGAAAGTGAGAGAGTGGAATTTCAGTGCTGTATTTTTTCTCTTTGAGGCATGAATGCATTGTTTTAGCTTATTTGTTTATTTTTTATCATAAGTACAGGAGTGTTTTACCTCGTATTTGAAAACTTCAATACAGTGAACTGGGCGATTTGTCCGGGAGTCTGGTGGAGGAAGTATATACTTTTATTACATAATGTATCTCAAAGAGTAAAGGAAATAGAAACAGTGCAGTGTCATTCACTGACCCCATATCCTCACGGCACCATCCTCCCCACCAGAGAGGATCTCCTCTTCCCTTTCTTTAAAGCACAGGCAGTGGATGTAGTCAGTGTGGCCCTTCAGTACAGACTACAGAGCAAACAACACAAAGGGGAGAAATATTAAGGGGATCCTACTGTGTTGCAATTTATTTATTTACAAAGCTGAACATACAGCCCACTAGGGGGCCAAGACATTAAAAAAATAATAATAATAATAATTAAAATGTGACATTATATTTACATAACAATTAAATGATATATACATATTTTTTTCAATTTATTTTTCAGTGCAGCAAACAGCCTTTGCACAAAATAGTGACCGCTTTTGCGTGCCATTTGCCCCCTCAAAAACAAAAGCAACTGTTAGTGTACCTAAAATATGTGTTTTGGCAAACTGTTTTTTTTTTTTTTTTGTTATAAACAAATGCTTAAAGGAATACTTAGCAAAGTCAGTACTTGTGTACGACGAGTAGACGAGTACTTGCGGTGTTCGGCCAATCACAATGCACTGGGTCAGCTGGCCAATCAGAGCAGACTGCGCTTGTCGGAAGGAGGGACTTTGTAGAAAACGAAGCGTTTGAGAGAGGCGGGGCATATAGGACCTACAATAATGTACAGTATTTGAAAAATAATGTGTTTTTTGAACATTAAAGCATGTCAACATATTCTGTTACACCAAATACACAAAATAATGATCTTTAAAAAAGCATCATATGACCCCTTTAATTCTTTACAAATGTCTGCTTGTGAATTCAGTATAGGGTGTTACAAAACAGTCTGCAGTAACTATCTCTATATTTGGAAAACGTCAATTCATTTAAACAGTTTTGTTAGATATTTATTTTATTATATTTCCTTAGGAACACGTTTTTTAAAGCTATTATTTAAGCAGAAGTGCAAGAGGGAAAATGATAGCCTGTGTTGGCGGGCCTTCAAAATATTGTCCCTGGAGATACAAAGATGTAGTCTAACTGACCTTAAAGATGCCAGTCTCCATGTCCATGATGTGAATATTATTGTCACCTCCTCCAACTATCAAGCTGTTGTCCTGAAATTTTTTTTTTTTTTAAACGAGCATTAAATTGATAAACTTTAAGATACTTAGACATACACAAATATATAATTTAATTAATTAATTCATTAATTAATAATCTCATTTAAATAGAACCATTTATTACAGGTCACTACAAAATATGGTTCCTTAATGAAAAGCATGTATTAGAAATAACCAACACAAATAGGTGAAGTACAAACCTTTGGGTTAATGATCATTGCATTGATCTCTGGTATTTCAAGACTAGTCCTGTATGGAATGAGAGATTGCACAAACATTTGAAATCACATTCAGGTAGTTCCCACAATAATGAAAGTCATAAAACCAAATGAACTATCACTATCTTGAGTCTCTCACTCATAACTGGGTTTCCTTGTCCATGCAGCTTTGGTGCTCTGTGGAGACAAAAATATATGAAATATGTTTTTTTTTTCTTCTGTTTTTACCGTATCCATATGTACAAAGCACAACTATGAAAAGGAATATACATTTTCCCCAACCCCAAAAAATACTCAAACATTTACTGAACAACTGACTCTTACTTTTTTGATGAGCTCTGCCCAACTCCAGGCACTGATCTCTCCATTCCCAGCACTCAGGAGATGAGTGTCCGTGGAGAGAAGAGAGAACACAGGACCATCATGAGCTGAAACAATTAAAAAGCCCTTTCACTTGTCATTGTTGCAATACTGGATACACGTAATGTTTGGGAGTTGGATAGTCTAGGACACATCTTGTAAAGGTAAAATTATCTTTGAAAAATTAAATCTCAGTCTAACCAGTGAAGTTAAGGATGGGCTTCTGGCTCGCCTGTGATGCATCTGGACTCAGTGCAGCTGAAAGACTGTAAGAACAAGAACACTTAAACATCAACAAGCAATATATATATATATATATATAAAGAGAGCGAGTGGGACAGAGAGAGAGAGAAGATTCTTACACACGTACATCAACAAACAATAGGAGACCAGCTGGCTAACAACGCCGCCTAAACTGCATGATTAAACTTATCACTAACCTGAACACCGCGATCTCGCCATAGTTATTACCCGCTGCAAGGAAACGCCCGCAGGGAGAGAAACTCTGAGAGAACACGGACATATGCAGGAGCTGGAGAGAGATAAACATGTGTCACGAACACGATTGCCAATAATTGATACATTTCTATGAGCATAAATATAATTGTTAGCATATAAAAATGTATATGAACCATTTGTTAAAACTGCTTAGAGTCAATGATTACACTGCAGGCTGAACCATGTTTCCCATAGTTTTCAATTATTTAAAAGTTTGTGCTTGCTAATAACTTGAATAAGATCCTGATCGTATTATTTACCTCAACTGGACCCATGTTCCTGGAGTTTATTACGCTGTTAATTTAACCTGACAAATCCTCGGTCGATTTCCATACAAAGCGCCGCTCCTTAAAACAGCGTCGCGTAAATATGACGCATCATTCAACCTGCCTCCACAGACCAGCCCGCTACAACAGTTACCTTGGTAACGTTAACTGGTTTCCGCCACGTTACCTTAGTAATTTGAGGTGTTGCGACTGTAAAACTATACATTAATATGGCAAAAATATTATAATTTTTCGAAATATTTTTTTATGAAAGTAGGATTTAAATATATATAGCTTTAATTTAAGCTAAAGTAATTTTTCACTGTTAAAATATTTATTCGATCTGTTTAAAATAACATCTGAACTACAGGCCATAAGCAAATCTAATAATGCTACTGGTGGGTTAATTTTCTAAAAAAAAGTGTAAATATCAAAACGTACGTATATAATACATTATATATTTTTATATAATGGGGATTTAGATTCCGATCTAAATCAAATGATTTGCGATACGCGCTTTGAAGTCCCGTGATTCGCGATCCGATTGGAGCGGTTCGAAACAGTGAATCATTTTGCGACTCAGAGGGTGCTTTCACACTAGCACTTTTGGTGCGCACCCGGGTTCGATTGACGTCAGAGTTCGGTTCGTTTGGATGATGTGAACGCTGTCTTCCGAACTCTGGTGCGCACCCTCGAACCGTACCCGAGTCCGCTTAAAGGGGTCATATGATGCGATTTCAAGTTTTCCTTTCTCTTTGGAGTGTTACAACAAGCAGAGAGCTGTATATCTAATATTTGTTCGCCTTCAGAGTTCTTTAGAGCATTTGCATAAGGCAGAGGTAAGTGCCGTTATGTACTGAAGCTTTGGAAACAAAACCAACGGTTCAAAAGCATAAATATAAAATTGAAGAGAGCAATGCTACGCATTTTGCCGCCTTCTCCTGCGCCATCGTTACTAAGCAACGGGGTAAACAGCTGCTGACTTGATGACGCAAACGAACCGCGATTCGGACCCAAATAATATAATGTGAACACAGTCCAGCGAGGGAGGGGGGAGCAATCGAACTCGGGTTCGGACCAAGCAATCGAACCAAGTGTGAAAGCACCCTCAATGGTTTAACTGATTCAGAGTTTCAAAAAGCTCCGTTGATATGGTGTTCTTTGCTCGCTTTCTCTATATAATTTATCCCTTGCTTGAATAACCGTGGAAATGAAATCATTACAATTAACTGGCCTAATTTACAATGTTTTTAATAGATTGTGATTACATTAAATACAGTTTCCATCGTATTAAAAACATTTCATGACATTACACCCATTATATGGCACTTGCCTAAAAAGACGGGTTTATGATGTGCGTTATTAACAGAGTACAGTACCATTAGGTTACTTAAGCTATATAGCCTTACTACCCTTACCTTCCACCTATGGAGAGAGAAAAAAAATTTCAAAACCATCCCCCCCTCTGTTTTTTCACAAATCGCACCCTGTATACTATACATATATACCACCCATTTATCTGACCAATGAGGAAAAAAGTACCCCCCCCCCATTTAAAAATTACTTCAGTTTTAAAGAATATAATAACCTCTGTGAATGTACAGTTTCCAATGTGCTGTGTATTTAGCATCAGGTTCTCCTTCAGCACCACAAACTAAATATTCAGACAAGATTCTACTGCCATTTTATTATTCATAATTATTTTTTCCCACAAATAAACAAAAAGGAACAGACTCCGTTTACATATGCAGGAAAATAATATAGTCCATTCTGATCACCAAATTACAGACATTCATCTACATTCAGAACAACGTAGCAGACAGAAAACCACTGGACATGTGTTATATTTTTGTTTGTGTGTGTGAATGTGTGTATACAAATAGCGTCCAGCATATGTTGGCACAGAGCAATAGTTGTTGAGCTTCAGTGTCTCAGCTGGCCTCTCTTTAAACATTAATGATATCATAATAAAAGTAATAATAAATCTTCCCTTTTGGGATGAGTTACAAAGAACCATGTTTTTAGAGACCTTCCTTTACTAATGGTGAAAATATCACCATTACAACTAGTCACATTTTTAGTCTCATCCATGTGATACTGAGATGATTCAGTCCAGTGAGGGTCAGGAAACAAAAAAGGTTTCACTTATTTCCTCCGTCGACTGTCTGGAGATCTGCTTCTCGACTTCCTGCTTGCACTGCTGATGGAAAACGGAGATTAAGATCAATATTAGCGAGAACAGCGAGTTGAAAGTTATAGTAAAAATACGTAGGATCTGTTCAGAACTGACCGTCGAGAGGGTAGAGAATGTGCAGGTCTTCGTTGCCTTGCTGGAGGGGAGTAACTGAGTGACCTAGAGTCTCTCAGCGAGTCTGCTGGCACTCTCTTGGGCCGTGGTGGACTGCAGAGTTCAAAGGAAATGATTGAGACAGTGTTTTAGAGTACAGCAGCAAAATGGGATACAATTTGATTTCCCCAATGATAATGCTTTTTAGAATTTACAGTTATTTGGCATTATAGTCATAAACCTTATTCTTATTATCTGGCATTAAACTACTGATTAAATTACTGATTAATTAAATTAATTATTGGCAGATGTTTAAAGGGGTCTTATTATGCTTTTTCACTTTTTGAATTAGTCAGTGTGTATGTTTGGGCATAAAAGATCTAGAAAGTTACAAATCTCAAAGTCCACTCCAAAGGGAGATATTTCGTTTTTAAAAAATCCCTTTTCAAGAACTACAACGAACAGCTTGTTTGGACTACAGCGTTGTTTTCCGGGGTATTGTGATGTCACAAAGCGGCCCATTAGAATATCATTAAAATAATTCCCACCTACGAAACTCGAATGGTTGGGGGGTGGGGAGGGGCGAGGTCGTGTTAGAACACTTGGTTGAGTGCATCAGACAAGATGACGAAGAAGTGCTGCTGCAGAGTTAGTGCACCAGAGAAAACGAAGAAGAGGAGGAGCTGCTGTAGTGTCAAGTTTTCGCCATGTCGAAGAAACACTGTTTTTTTTTCATAAATTGCCGACAGTACAATACTGGACAATGATGTAATCTGCAGAATTTACACTTCATTTATGAGACTATGGTATAAATAAATTCAACTGTATAACAGTTTCACTGCAATTCATTTTATAATGTTAGAATTAAAGAACAATAAACAAAATACATATTACTGTTGCACTTATCTGTACATAGTAAATGCACTTATTTTTTAAGCGGTTGTTGACATCGTATCTAAAACGTGATTTATAATATGTCTGTCTTGCAATATCCGTGCATGCAGAAGTTCTGCGCGATCCTCTTGTTCAATATTCTCAGGGTCTGAATACGGTGTTGCGCCCAATTCTGACCCCCGCCATATTATTACCCCCCTAGTATTGGTAGGTTTATGCAGAGTTCACACTGCACGATTTTCAAACTCGTCGGATCGCCGTTGTTTTCACACTGCGTGACTATCTGAGGTAGCAGTCAGTCGCTGCTGTGTTCACATTGCACGATGGATCGGCGACAGGGGGTTTCACACTGCATGACTTCACAATAGGAAGAATCGCCAACAGCTCTGTCTGGTCCGCAAACTACATTTCACAACAAAACACACGCGAGAAATGATAAGGAAATAACGCGAGAACCCGCGTGCGTCAGACCGGAGTTCTCTCGAGCAAAACTGTAATTATTTAAAGCCTCCGATGTCTGGCATTTGTCGGCGATTTCACAAAACCTGTCGGCGAGTGAAAAATCGGGCTAAAATCGTGCAGTGTGAACTCGGCATTAGGGTTAGGTGAGGGGGAGGGGTTAGGATTAGGCAATCAGGTATCGATTTCAATGAGAGGGGGTAATAATTTGGCAGGGAGTCGAAAATGGGCACAACACCGGCTCAAATTGATATGGCAATATTGATGCCATCCTTAACTATACCGGAGCAGACGGAACTTGCTACTTTGGCAAGGGGCGGGGCAGTGCTGAAACACCATCTAAGCTGTTCGCCAATCACAACGCACTGGGATAGCTAACCAATCACAACACATTTTGTTTTTCGGAAGATGGGCCTTCATCAAACCCGGAACTAATCGTGCCGTTTGTGCCAGGATGGGGAGAAAGGTATTTTAATAATGTAAATTATGTGAAAAATAATGCGTTTTTCGAACCACCAAGCATGAGAGCATGTTCAAGTACACCCCCAAAACAAAATCACGACTTTGTAAAAGAGCATAATAGGACCCCTTTAAAAAGGATTCATTACCTATTAATTTATTACTTATTTATTATTCATAATTTTCTGGTAAAAGCTGCAATTGCGACTTAAATACAATATATATATATTTTTTTTACAGCTCCAGGTTTGCTGGGGCTGTTTTAAGGGCCGGACAATTTGACCAAAACTCTTTAATTATATATCAATATGATTATAAAAAAAAGAAGAATTTTACTAAATAATAAACAAAATGGGAAATATTACTGCTGTAATTTCACTGTAAAATAAAAAAATAGTATAAGTATAAAAGAAGAATAATAATTGTATTTTACAGCACACACATAAAAATGACAACAATATTCATGGGTGTCTTGATTTCTCCATTTTTAAAATGTTAAACCGTTGAGATTTTATTTTGGAGGAAAACCGCAGAGAGCACTTAAAGCTTCTCTTTTGTTGACAACAGACAGTTCATAAGCGCTCCTCATGGTGAGTTTGGAAAGATGGTCCATGTTGTGTTCCCAAACACACGGTATAAGTGAACCAGAATCAGAGTAGACGCAGAAAGGAAGATGCAGAATTTACTGTAAAGTTCACAGTGTAAACCAAGCCACTCTGAGACGCTGAAATCACTGGATTATGAGCTGCTTTCGTGTAAAATAACACAGTGCCTAAATTTGAAACGCACAATGCATATGGATTTCTTTAATTAAATCACAGTCTATGTGATTTGGCATTAGGGCTGGGCAGTATATCGAGTTTGTACGATATATCGATATTTTCTTTATAAGTGATTCGATATGAGGCAATGCCGTTTATATCGATATACAGTAGTTTGATACGAGCGCATCTGAAAATATAGTGGAGGACACAGACTGAGCTGCTGCGGAGAAAGTGCATAATCATAATTAAGGCCTTTAAAAACTGGTAAGACATAGTTTCTAGTTTCGTTTCGCATATTAGTTTAAGTGGCGCGGCCCGTCATATGCTCTGACAGAAAGGCTGCGTGTGCACTGTGCTGTTTAAGATGTGTGTTTGAGATGTGCTGTCTTCCTGAATGCATAACTTACATTTCACAGGTATATTCTCCATCTGTAAATGTTAGAAAGCCATGGAAATATTTCCATTTTTCTGTCAGAAGTGCATGAGCCTTCTGCTTTGGGATTCTCCGCTAAACTTCACGAGCGCTGGCGCGCGCATGAGCACCAAACAGACAGAGCTCAATTAAATAGGAGCACAATAATTCTGACTAAAATATACATTTCGCTGAAATATTTGTAGTTGGACAATAAATGTGACATGTAGAATTTTAAACCTACACGTATTACATGGTTACATTCACTTTATTTGTTTTCATAGCCTTTAATATGTATTGTTTTGTTGTTGGACAACATTGGGCGGTAAGTAAAATATATATATATTAAATACAGATTTTTAAAAATACAAATACAAAAAATTTAAATACCGAGATATATACACCGTACATCGCAAATCGGCCAAAAAATACCGAGATATGAATTTTTGCCCATATCGCCCAGCCCTATTTGGTATATGGCATTTTCAGTTATTTCGATAATTCAGCAGCCTAAAATTGAAAGTGAAAGATTGTTGGTTCATGCATGTAAACTTTTAATTCAAAATTTGAATTAAATGCAGTGGAAAATCCACTATTTCTTTAGTAGAGTATGAATAAATCCAAGGATTAAAAAAACAAACAAAAAAAAAATTTATATATATATATTCTACCTTTTTGTCTTATCTTCTTGTTCACTTTCTGATGAGGAGGATGACGACGAAGAAGCTCTGTTTTTCGCCATCTTGCCAGCATCTCTATTTGTATTTGCTTTAACACCTCTGGAAAAACAAACATTGAAATGAAGGGTACCATCTATTAAACTGAACTGAATAAATGCTAAATAATTTGGCACTTACCCTTTTGTTTTCTCTGTCTCAGAGTCTGAGCTGTCTGATGAGGATGATGATGAGGATGAAGATGAGGAAGAGGATGACGATGATGATGATGAGGAAGATGAAGAACTCGAGCTGCTTCTCTTCTGCTGTTGGCCAGAGCTCTCCTTCTCTGGTTTCCCATTCAAAGAAGTCTTTCCTATCGTTGACGGTTTGTGGTGCCGCTCATGGACAGATGATGGGGGCTGGCCTCTTAATCGGTCACCAGGTGGATCCCTGCTTTGTGACTGGTTGGTCGTTGGTGATCTAGAACAGGCAGGACGTTCACAGGAGCGAGAGCGATGATGCGGTTGGTTGGAAGGGAGATGGGTCTCTTTAGGAGGGGAGGGAGACAGATGTTTAGAGTTCCTTTCTGGTTGCTTATTTTTTGTCTGTTCAACAATTTCCCTTGATCCGTCTTTATCTGCATCTGTAGACTTCACACCCTTCATCTGTCTTTGAGGAGAGGGCGAGGTTGAAGAGGACGAACTGGAGGAAGAAGATGATGATGAAGAGCGCCGTGGAGGAGTGGGATCTTTGGGTGGCGCCCTTGTTCTCTGTTCTCGCTCTCGTTCTTTCTCCTGTTCACGTTGTCTATCTCGCTCTTGATTCCTCCTCCTCTCCTGCTCTCTCTCCCTTTCTCTTTCTCTTGATAGTGAACGACTTCTGCGCCGACGAACAGGAGAGGGTGAATGACGATACCTAGGTGTAAAGAGAGAAAATCTTTGTAATAACCACAATTACATAAATTTATTATAAATTTCATTTCACACTCTATATGTAATTACAGTGTATAGTTCTCAAATTAATTCTACGACTCCATAAACCACTAGTCACACAATTTATTCAACAGTGTACAGTAGCTCCAAAACTCCTAATGGATTCCCCCAAATAATAATAAAAAACATTTTATATATGGTCAGTAAATTTTTTTTAAAGGAGACATGTTATGCCCCTTTTTACAGTATGTAATGCAAGTCTCTGGTGTCCCCAGAATGTGTCTGTGAAGTTTCAGCTCAAAATACCCCACAGATCATTTATTATATCATTTTGAAAATGCCTATTTTGAGTGGAAGCAGAAACACGCTGTTTTTCGTGCCTGTCTCTTTAAATGCAAATGAGCTGCTGCTCCCCGCCCCCTTTTCCAGAATAGAGCTGTGCCATTACAGCTGGTACCTGCTAAACATCTGCTGTTTTTTAGTGTTACCTGCCAGTGAAAACAGCTGTTTGTCTTTGTTTATGCTGCTGCTATGTTTTCTGTAATGTGTTCATATAATACAAACCATCTCATTTCATACCAGAGGCATATGCAGATGCATATATTGGAGTAAAATAAGTCTCAATCTAAAGACTTCTCCTGCTCTCCTGATTCTCTGACTGGAATCTGGTCCATATTTGGCCGCCTCAACCAGTTGTAATTTAAATGTCCATATACAAACAAAAATCTACTTTTCTTCAACGCAAAGTTTTATTTTCATAAAACAAAACCAAGTAAAAAGTCAGTAATAAAATAAGAACAAATAAAAAAAATAGCAAACAACAGCACAAATAAATGCAATAGAATAAAGAGAGCTATGAAACTAAGTTTTTCAGGTTAAGTAAGTTTTTATTCAGGTAAGAAATACTACAGAAATTAAAGTAATCAAATGTAAAATAACACTGCGGACTGCGGTCCCTTTAAGAGTTTATCCACGGACCCATAAGATTTATATTACATCTTGTAAAAAGGGGCATAATAGTTGCCCTTTGATTTCTGAATGATCATGTGATCCTTGAAATGGGTCTTGATCAAATAAATACAGCCTTGGTAGTCACTGAATATAGAGGTCATAAAAAAATGCAAAATATATTTGAAATAGCTTAAAGGGTTAGTTCACCCAAAAATAAAATTCTGTCATTAATTACTCATCCTCATATTGTTCCAAACCTGTAAGAGTCTTGACAGATTTTTCATTTTTGGGTGAACTATCCCTTTAAGCATGTCACTGGCAAGACACACAAAACCTCATTTCCACAGACTGTCTACTGCAACTACTAATAAGGTTGAGTTTAACTTTCCAAAAACTGTGGTACTTTGACTAACCTGTAAGGAGGACTTGGTCTTCGGGGACTCCTAGATCTGCTGCTCCTTGTTCTCCTCTCCCTGGAACGCTCTCGATCTCGGTCCGCTGGCCTTGCCCTAAATCGGTCCCTCTCTCGCTCTCTGAGGCGTTCCCGGCTGTGGTCCCGTCGGGAAGGGGATGAGTTTCGTGAAGGCGATGGTCTCCTCACTCCTCGTCTCGGACTGGGAGAACGTGAGCGTTGTGGGTCCTGGTACTGTCGTGGTGGAGTGCGTTTCGGTGAAGGCCGAGAAGCCATCTGTTTGACCCGTGGCACGTCGTTCCTTCCTTTTCCCCTTGGAGATAAAGGTGACGCGTCTTTCTTTCGGTCACTCTGTCGATCTCTTCCTCTGCCAAGTGAGGGATGTGAAGACTCTCGTTCCAGCTCTGATGGGGTATATCGCTCGCCTCTTCGATCTCTGCTCTGAGATTTGGTTTCTTCTGAAGGTGTGTACCTGTCCCCACTTGGGACTCCACTGTCCCGGCCTCTCTGAGGGGGCGAAGGAGGTGGGCTTGAACTCTCAGTGGGGGTGTACCTCTCTTTTCCACGTTCCCGGTCTTTGGCTCCTGTGGAAGGAGACGAGGAATGGCCAGGTCTCCGCTCTCTCTCCATGTCTCGCTGTCTCTTATCAACATCGTCCCTTTTTCTTTGGGACTCAGGAAGTGAGCTCTGTCTTTGTGTGGGAGGGTACATCTTTCTGCCTTCACCACTCTCTCCATCCCTTCCTCGGTTCTCCTTCTCTCGGCGTGCAATAGCCTGAGCTATGACAGCATTAGGAACTGACCTACCAGCAGCACTGCTGTCTTTTGAACTTTTCTTCTTCTTCATTTCATCTTCCGAGGATGAAGAGGATGAAGAAGAGGAGGAGGATGAAGATGACGATGAGGAGCTGTCACTGTCACTCTCGCTGCTACTGCTGCTGCTGCTACTACTACTACTACTACTGCTGCTCGCAGCTTTCCCTTTGTCTTTCTTCCCGGGCTTTTCCATTTGCATCGGTTTCTCCTCCTTCTGGGGACTCTTCTCCGGTCTCTTGTCCTCCTCCATTCTCCTGTCTTTCTTGGCCACCTCTTGCTCCATCTCACTTCCTCTGGCACCTCGCCTGTCCTCAGGCTGACCGCTAGAGGAGGCCTTCCTGTCTGATCGAGACACTTCTGCTCTTCTGGTGTGGTTTCTCTCCTTTTCTCTGTCACTCTCTCTGGCTTTTCTCAGAGCCTCTTCTTTCATCTCCTTCTCCCTCCTTCTGTCCTTCTCTCGCTGTTCTTCTCGTTCCTTCTCCAGTTCACGATCTTGTTCTTTTTGCCTTCCGTTTGCATAAGGTGAACGCTTAGCAGGAGACATGGAGTCATTAGATCGGTTTCGGTCTCGCTCCATCCCTTTATCACTCTCCCGTCCTCTGTCATCTTTTCTACTAGATGGGATTGTATCTCTATCGCTATTCCTCTGTCTGTCTCTCACTCGGTCTCCATATCTCTCCTTTTCCCTGTCCCTGGGGGAAACTCCTCTCTCTTTCTCTCCACTGTGTCCTCTTCTTGTTCTGTCTTTACGTGGTGAAGGAGATGGGGATGAGGATGAGTCATGTCTTCTTTGACCTTTGTTCTTTCTCTCATCGTCCCCTCGGTTCTTGTCTTTCTGCTGCTTAGGAGACGGAGAGCGAGACAAAGAGATTTGTCTTTTCCACTGAGCGGGTTTCTCTTTCTCTTCGCTCCGCTGTCGCCGCTCTCGCTGCTGCTGCTTGCTTGGTGGAGATGGTGAAGAGTCATGTCTTCTTGTCTGAGGGGGTTTCTCTCTCTCTTCACTCCGTGGTCGTCTGTCCCGCTGCTGCTTTGGTGGTGGAGATGGCGATGAGGAGTCCTGTCGTCTTCTCTGAGGTTTTTCTTGCACTTCTCTCTCACGTTCTCGGCCTTTGTCTCTTCTGCTGTGCTCAGGCGTTCTTGAGCGTCTTGGTGACCTCTAAAAGTGGGGAAGACAAAGAATTAAGGAGGTGCAAAACCACATTTTATTTAAATCAACTAGTCAGAGGGTTGTCTGAACAACTGCTTGACTAATCTGGCTTAAGGTAGGCCTGTATAACTAGGCCAGGCATCAGGAGTTTACATGACAAGTTTTTGCATTCAATGTAGGGGTCTCGAGGTGCATTTTATAGAAATTGAACAATATTTTTCTTGACATACTACATTAAAACTCAATGTTTGTTATGGCAAGGCGCTCAAAAGACAATGCAAACACAGAAGATGCAACTAAGGCCAAAGACACTATCTGAATGTGTTCGGCTGTGATTTACTGTGAACGTTGTTTAGAATAGAATACATAATAATATATTTACTTGACAAATATAACAAACATGAATAAGAATAGAAGGAAACAAACTCACTAATCAAATACAAAGAATAAATTAGATTAAATAATTACAGTGTGCATATGCCTCTATGACTTCCAAAACAACACATTACCTCTCTGACTTCCATCCTTTTTGGATTTTCCTCACTACGGCCACAAAGCCTTCTGTCAGGGGATCTCCCTTTCTTCCCCTCATCTGGATGAGAATCTGATTTATTCGGTTGTTTCCCTCTTTGAGGGGATAGGCTGAAAACAAAAGTCATGCATATATATTTACATGAACTTTCACATATTTTTTTTTAAATGTACACCATTTCAAATGCTGAACAAGAATTCATATTTGATGTATTTTAGACAGGGTTTCTGCAGGATTTTTAAGCTCAAATTTAAGACTTTTTAAAACCTTTAAGACCTGCACAAATAAACTTAATACCATATGAGCGGGGTAGGGCAATGTCTATAGTACCATATTAAAATGTAAAATTACTGTAAAAAGCATAGGCCTAATTAACAGTTCAGATACAAGTTTTCACAAAAACAAAGTTTTATAAAATGATAAACTTACCATTTCAGCCCTTAAACCATTGTTAAGAAAATGGATGAGTCAAAAGTATTATTATATTAATTAAAAAAATTATTATCAATAAATTATTATATCAATTAAATAACAAGAGAGAGAGAGCACGAGAGAGAGAGCGAGAGAGAGAGAGAGCGCGAGCGAGAGAGCGCGCAAGAGAGCGTGAGCGAGAGAGAGAGAGTGCGCAAGAGAGCACGAGAGAGAGAGAGAGAGTGCGCAAGAGAGCGCGAGAGAGAGAGAGAGAGAGAGAGAGAGAGAGAGAGACAGGGTCACATACCTTAAATGTGAAATTAAAACCGCCAGTAGGTGGCAGCAAGTCACTGTTAATAAACGAGTCATTGCGATTGAACCGAATCATTTAAACCAGGGGTGTCAAACTCAATTCCTGGAGGGCCGGAGCCCTGCAGAGTTTTGTTCCAACCCTGCTGCAACACACATATCACATAGTTTTCGAACAAGCCTGAAGGACTTGATTACTTGAATCAGCTGTGTTTAATTAGCCCCTGATTTAAACAGTTGATTCATTCAGGAACAAAACAGCTCCTGTTGCTAAGAGACGCAAAACAGCTCTGTGGTTGTGTTTGAAATTATTTTTGTTGGAGAAATAGAGCAGAAACAGGCAATATGGTGTCTAAAACGTAAGTCTCTTAATATTAACTACTTGTTTATTGAACTGTAGTATAAAATCAATATCACATTTGTAATCATGCTTACTTTGAGAAAAAAATGGCACTCTTCGTGTGATATTAACTATATCAAATGATTTAAATATATACATTTTCTGCCCCATATCTTAAATTGTTATAATTCTAAATGTATTTTGATAGACCAATTCATGCAGTGAAAGAACGCACTCTAAATGCACGCACTAGTCTAACCTGATAGACTTCATCACCTAATGTATGCGTGTACTCTGTAGGTGTGTTTTGTGTTTGCTTTTCGCGATATACTCATAATATCAAATCGCACATCGTTAAAACAACAATTACGATATTATCGCAGACCATACATATCGCACACCCCTATGTTTAGATTTTCTATAATGCATTGT